ACATCTTGCATTACGACTGGGGTGGCGCCGCTCTGGCCACTCTCTACGGGTATATGAGCTCAGCTTCCCGTGGCAGCGGACAGTTGCTCGGGGGCTACTAGCGGGTCTGGGAGATACGTTTCTTCTCCGCTTTTCATTTCTGCTTTTCTATCTTTTTTGTACTCTATACACTGCACACACTGTAGTCTGCTTTATACTTGCTATATACTGTACACACGGCACACACATACACTCTGCTTTACACTGACTGTACACTGTTCACACTGCACACTGTAGACAATACACTGCACAACACACGGCCCTGCCATTTCTGCTTTATTCTGTTTTTTGCTTTATCTGATAATCGTATTGATGTTTTCTCTGCAGTTGTGGGTTTACGCCTACTTTCCTAGGCTCGCACCCGTACCGGTCACGGAGACCCCTCTGGTCGTCCCCTTTTCGCGTCGCTTTGACGGGAGATGCACCCAGAGGCCGCGAGAGACTTTCAGCTTCTTCCGCCACTTCTTCGACACCATTACCCCCGCGGAGGTATGTTTTACTTGCAGTTCATTTAAGCGTCGCCTTTCTACTACATATTTCAATAACAGTAGATAACAAACTGTATTGAATTTTCAGATCACCTGGCAGCCTTGGGCTCCTTTACCAGCCGTGGCGCGGGATCGGTTTGCCGGTGCCGATGAGACCTCGCGTTTCCGGATCTTGTTGGAGGGCCCGGTCTGTCGAGCTTGGTACCTGGGTGAGCGTTTCTTACGCCAGACCCTAAGGTTACCGGAACAGATAGTCCCGGTTCACCCTCCCGAGGATATGAGGGAGACCGAGAGGCTCACTAAGGAGCAGATGGCCGATTATACCATCGGTTGGAAGGCGACCCGCTTCAGAGGCATCGGCGACTACCGAGAGTACGTACAGACGTATCTTATGCGGCCTCTGAGCGGCGGCCGCCGAGCTGAGGGAGTTAGACCCGTGGCGCCAGCAGCGAGGACAGGAGTGGGAGCTGGAGCTGGAGCTTCGAGGAGGGCCCGGGTCCGTGGCAGGGGCAGAGTTCAGGGGGGACGGGGGACCGGTTGGCCTGTTCTGCCTACTTCACTGACTTTCCGAGGGCAGGGTGGGGCGACCTATCAGGTCCCCTTAGCCCCTCCGCCAGCTGATCACGAGTTTGTCGGTGTCCCCGACTTGCCTCCGGTATGCATTACTGCATTTTTGTACAGTCATTTCATTTCAGTTTATTTGATATTCCACAGAATATTGATGCATTTGATATTTTTGTAGGCTTCTTCTGAGTACACCCGGCAGTCATTGGAGATGAATGCCTCCATAATGGGGATGCTACAGTGGACCTTTGATCTCCTGGCCCTCTACAGCATTCCGGTATGTTTTTCTGATCACGGCCTCAAATCACTCACAAGCTGATTTACGTAATCTGATGCACGACACAACACCCGACGCACTGATCTCACAGCGTCTGATACACTGCATACACTACATTCTGCACTGTACTCTGCACTGATAAACTTCCCACGACATTCACACACTGTACTCATACACTGCATTCTGCACTGATAAACTGCTCACGACATTCACACACTGTACTCATACACTGCATTCTGCACTGATAAACTGTCCACAGTATACTGATGCATTTGTCTTTTATGTACTTTTTCAGCCTTCCTTCCAGATTCCCGGGGTAGGAGGTGCTCCGGCTGGACCTTCCGTCCCCGCCCGAGGGAGAGATGAGGAGGGCAAAGTATTTCCCTGCTCCAAGGCGGGGCGCACTCATGCTGGGAGTAGTTCGCGGGCTCCCGTTCCTGATGATGACGATGATGAGGATGACGAGTCGGAGGCGGAGGTCGAGTCGGAGGCGGAGTCATCGGAGGAGGAGACCGGAGGCGGCACTAGCCCGGGCTCTAACGACAATGCTGCTGATGCTCCTGGACCTTTGTCCAGGAAGAGGACTAGGACAGACCGTTAGCCCTTGGAGTCACTGGACACGGATACAGATTTTGTTGTTTTTCTTCTTTCTTGTACTTTTCCTTTTTGTTGGTAGTTAGGATATTCTGTACTGCCGCAGACAGATTTTTGTTTTCCTCAAAACTCTGTACTTGAAAAAGATTGTGAAATGAACAAAATTTTTTGCTTAAAAAGTGTTACATTTACATATCTCATGTATTGCATCGCATCCCATCATGTTACACTTCAATGTAAATGGTATTGACCTGTTGTCTGAATGTTGAACACTTGCACTGTGGTAATCGGATAACTAAACAGCCAACAACAAAATAGCCCAAGCAACCCACTGCTTGATTCTGGACACACAGCCCTTACTCTACTGGGGATTAATCTGCATACAGCCCATAACACAGCATTCGGTTCATTCTGCACACAGCAAATTCTGAGCGAACGGCCCAATCTGACAAGACGGAGCTCAAAGACGGAACCGGTTGGAGTTGAAGCATGCTCAAATATAGAGAATGGCACAGCATTCTGAGTATAAACGATTTTTGAAATTGAATAAGGGTTTTTCGAACCGCGGTATCGAGCCTACAACTGAACACAGCGGGGAGGACTCAAACAAAAGGGTACACGACCTAAACACAACGAGACACGCTCGGAAGAAACCTAAAGCAAAGGATGAAACTGACAAATCAAAAGACACGACACACAGACGCGTCAACGAAGACGGGGGACCTCAGATCACGAGGAGCCAGTTTCTCTGGGTATTGTTTCCCACCCTTTCTGATTTGTGATTCTCACATCACTCGACCCTCAAGCTCGGATTTTCTCTCAAAACCCTTTTCCTCACTTTTCTCTCAACTTACACCTCTCTATTCTTCATTCTCTCATTTTTCATCCCTCCCCGGGTGATTGATGAATAAATAGAAAGGTGGTGGGTTCATGCTTCAAAACGTTAGCTCACGGCTTTTTCCTTCTGGTGGGTAGAGTGCCCTTCTGGCAAGTATGTTGACGATGGTGGGGGGGGGAGACAGAACTGCCTTGGCTCAATGTGCCCTAAGTTCATCATTTAACCATTTCTTGTGTTTTTGCTTTCTACTAAAACAGTTTTGATCAAAATGAGAGTCGGATTAACGTACTTGTTCGATTTTTGATTTGAAAGCCATGCAAGTCGGGCTATAAGCACTGAAAATTTTCCCTTTTAGGTCCAAGAAAATGGTCCAGCTTTGGAAAATGGAACAGTTTTCGAAAGAATAGTCAACCTTAGTAAAAATTTTCAAAAACTATTTTTCAAACAGTCAATGCTCAACGAGAATGGAACTTACTCTTTGAGATGCGCAACCTCGGATCGGAGGCAATGGAAAATTGCCCCTGGCTTGAAGGGGGTGGATGGCAACGGAAAGTTGCCCCTGGTTTGAATGGCGTCTCGCGACGACTCGTGGCGACGGAAAGTTGCCCCTTATTTGGATGGTGCCGCAGCAGTCCGCAGACAGTCTTCATTGGCGATGGTCGAGCTCTTGGACACAGAGATGACGAAGACGGTCACAACAAATATATGGACACAGTCGCCTTGGAAGGTGTTGGCGACTGGACTTTGGGATGAAATCGAAACCATTGCATGGACTGAGACGCTATGAAAGCGTTGGGGGCTGGACTCCATGATGAAGTTGCCTACGTATCCTAAACATGGGAATCAAGCCTCACGTAGTTCCGGTTAAGGTACACTCGGGTATTTTAACCTTCACTTTTCAGGCTCTAACTTTTGCCAAGGCGCCCGATGCGGGTTTTCGACCTTGCGAGCTTCTTTTTATTCTTCTTTTTTTCAATTTTCATATCTTTTCATTTTCTTTTTCACATTTTTCTTTTCTTTTCTTTTTTGCTTCTTTTCTTTTTTTCTTCTTTTTATATTTTTCTCTTGCTCTAACTTTTGCCTGGGTCGCCCTCTCGGGTTTTCGACCCAGCGAGCCTCTCAAAGGGTAAAAGTGTAACAAGTCCATGCCAAATGTTTTTTTTTTTTTGAGTTGAAGCCTCTTTGTGTCTAGGAGAACGGCTGCTGCACTGATTTGCAGAAGAACCCATCATGGTTGTTCCACGAGCTTCTTCTGGTGGGATCTACTCTTTGATTCGACTTCGGCGCCTCTTGTTCGAGGGCTGCTCTTGATCTGCCCATACAGACCTTGCATGACGTTTGACCGTTGAACTTTCTGAACGGGCTCAAGGTTTGAAAACGAACGGGTCGAATCTTGAGGCTGAGAGCGATCCTAGGCTGTACAATCTCAAAATTGGTTCCACACAGGTCTTCATAGGGCCGTGTAAAACATTAGTTTTTGAAAGTTTTTAAGAAAGCGGCGAATCGCTCGCGCCGATGATAGTGTGGAACCAATCTGGATCAAGCCAGGGTCCTTCTCAGTACTCACGCCGACAAGCATGATTTCATTCATTAAAGGCTTAGCACGCCTCTCTTTTTTCTCAAAATGATCAAAATTTTGTAAAACCCGAGGAATTCCTTTCTCTTCGTTTTTATCACCGCAGTGCTCGAAAGAGGTTTTTTGAAAAACTTAGGTTAGTGCAATGAGCTTGGTGCACAGGAGAGCAGGCGAGATGTACTGTCAGCCCAATCAAATTCTCTGGCACTTATACTGAAAGCAAGCACGAAAGTGAGATAGCAACAGCTGTTTCATTCAGATTTGTTGGTGTAACTGGCCCCTCGGCAGAAACAGACTCAAAAAACAAAAAACAGGTAATTACAAGACAAAATGGTGTTCGGGACGACAACCCCAGAATCACCTGGTATTCTATACAAGGGGGATTGACTCGCTACAACAAGACAGACCTTTAAGCAAAAAGACTGACTCAAGACAAAGAGACAGACTCAAAACAAAAGACTGACTCGATACCCAAGCCAGGATTTACAAAGCTAGCGTGCGTTCACAGCCACTCAAAAATGCGTGCCAGACGCCACGTTCAAAATACATCCAGATGCCGCTCGTAGGTGGTTCACCTTCTGATTACATACTTGCAGTATCTGTGTCCTTAAAATCCAATAACTGGGTGGTAACGGACTTGGCTGAGGTAGGCGGGAGGATAACCTCGTTGTCAATCAAATCTTGCACCTCATGACGGATGCGGAAGCAATTGTCGGTGGCATGGCCTGTCTGCTGGTGGTACGCGCAGTACTGAGCAGCATCATACGTAGCGGGGAGATTCTTCGGGAGAGGCCAAGGCTCCAAGGGTTTAAGGTGTCCCCTCTCGGCAAGGATCTGAAGTGCCTTGGACAGAGGCATATAGAGAGCATGAAAGGTCCTGCGCCCCCGGGGCAGGTACTTTGGAGTCTGAGCGCTCTTACTAGCCGCACAAGCGAAAGGGTCGGCAGGCGCCACCTTAGCTTTTTGATCTTTCCCAGGTGCAGGGGCGGGAACAGGAGAGACTGTTTTGGCATGACGGGGCCTATCCCGATTTTCTGACTGGCTTGAACTACCCTCAGGTGGAGTGGGGAAAGCATCCTCCACAGTTTTTGCCACAACTGCGGATATCTGTTGCTTGTTCATCCTCCCGGCTTTCAAAGCCTCGACTGCCCACAGCAGTTGTTCAATGGGATCGGCATCTGCCTTCATTTTGTCTTTTCCTCTGGCCTCAGCCTGATCGAGGGTTTGGGTTGATGTTGATATGTCATTGCCATAGCTGGAGGCCATCTCCGGTTGGCTAAGCTCAATCACAATTCGCCCCAACAGCGGGGGCTCCTGGGGTACAAAACTCCCGGCATATGGTGCGGCTGGAGGTGAAGCTGACATTTCGTAGGCGAGATCCGCCACAGACCTCTGGAGATCACCTATTATCCCCATTAGTTCGAATGTAGTAGGCTCGCAAGCCTGGTATAGCTGGGGGGCCCAAACCGGGTGCGCAACAGGCGACTTGGGTGGACGTGGCATATCAGTGTTGGCCTCATTTTGCAGAGTGATCCCCTGCTCCAATGTAGCTGTCATAACCACTATCTCTTCTGAATTCTGCGTCATCACAAGTCCTGCCTCGACAAAGGGGAGCACTAGCTATTCTGTACCAGCTGTCCGAACTGAAAAAGACAACAAACAGCATTTCAGCCCAAACAGATCAAACACGGGTGTAGCTGAACAACTGTACTCTACTGCTGATCACTGTTCCCCAGAAATCACTGTCCCAAAAAAAAAAAAACTGAGCCTGATACCCGCAGATAACTGATTCTTATAACTGACACTGATACTGGCGTCCTCAAGTCTGATACTCAAACTTGCTAACTGATATGTACTTTCCTGTAGAGATACATTCTAAAAGCACATAGCAAGTAAAGAGAGCCAAAACACCCCTATGTTGGGGTAGGGTTCCCCTGTCCTATTTTGTCAGGAGCTAGGGTTTCACTATGCATGCAGCAGCTTTCAAACAACCTAACATCGGGTAAGCAGCCTGTCCTAACTTGGAATGATCACTATGGATCCGAACATGTACTAGGTCGAATGGTCGAAAAGGGTGCCCCGGTAAAACCGGGATTTGTGTTCCCATACTGTCGAAGCCCATAACCGGTCAGCCTTATGGTCATGCCTTGACAAGACAAGCCTCCGGCAAACCGTTCAGGAATGGCAGATGGCAAACACTATGTTCCTAAGCGCACCAATGCACATGCAATGCAAAAAGACACATAAATGAGATCAAAACAGGATATCACGAGTTCAAGTCAAGCTCTCTAAATCCCCAGTAGAGTTGCCAGAAACTGTAGACATCCCCCGAACGCCACGGGAGGGTGAGTCCCGTTTTGTTCATTTGTGGGGTCACTACAGCTCGGACTCGATTTGTGTCACGGTTTTTAATCTTGAACCAAAGAGTCCAAATCTGGCAAATCGTTTTGAGAAACAGATTTTGAAAAGAAGTATCAAACATGGACTGCTTGGCCAGATATAGAGTCGCCACCTAAATATTTTTTATGGAGGAATTTAGGAAACCCTGACTCGGTGCCGAAGGCCACATGTCCGTCATCACCGGAGTTGTCTCGACTCGGGAGCTTGAGCACCCCCTTTCGCCCGGTCCGAAGACCGGCCTCTACTAACCCTGATATCCGATTTTGAAAACATTATGTGTTCTTAAACCAATTATTAGCCTAGCGTTACTATGTTATGTGCACAGCAAACAAGTATAGACTAGATTGCCTAATTTGGAAACAAGCATTGCATATCCGTTTGTTTTGAAAAGCGCTTTGGAATTTGCTACTCGCAAGTAGGCTAAAACACGGATTTCAACGAGTTTTTCCAACTCAAACAATCCAACCTTCACCCACAGGCATTCAAACAGTTTATCTCATATAAGCACTTAGCCACATGGTAAGCATACTATCATGGCAACATTCACACGTATGCAATATGCTAAAGCGAAAATACTTACATCGTACTCCGTGCCAAAAACAGGAACATGTTAGCAATCAATGCATGATCCAAGTCCATGTTAAGTGCCTAATGCATCGCATACAAAATGTCATTAGAGTAGGCTCGGCTAGTCTCTGAATGACATGTGAAGATGCACAAATAACATGTATTCAATTCGAAATTTGAAGTACAAATGCAGTTAGCATGATGTACCGAGCTTGGTGCATACAGGACAAATGTATGAATGCACGCATGCATTGCATAAGGTATGCTAATTTAAATATGTCCTAGTCTACATCAAAGCAGGTAAATAAAGGGAAGAAAGAAGTGGGGATTGGAAGACATACACACCACTCACACACACTTATTACAGATTTGCCTCGCGCCCAAATAAATAATACAAATTAATTAACTACGCAAGCTAATTAAATATTACAAATTGCCTAATTAATTAATAAATTAACTAAGCTAGAAAAAACAGTAAACCGCCTCGGGAGGAGAGCCAAATGCAGCGCATGCTCGGGTCTCGCTCGGAAGTGCACGACCATGCATAGTCTGCTTCTGTTTTTCTTGCTCTGCTCCTCTGGAGGCTACCAAAACCTCAGGGATGTTTCTCTGGATACTGGGAATCACCACCGGCTGAGTAGAATTACCACCGGCAGTGGTATGTGGTCACCGGCACAAAATGAATCCATCGGCTGGTGAATTACTGCCGGTCGGCAATGTACACTGCCGGTCGGCAAAGAATGCCTGCAGAACTTGCAACTAACAGCTGCAGAGGATAGAACTTGCATGGCAATACAATTCAAACAATGTATGCACCAATCATGTCCCCTATCATGTTTGTAACTCAAAGGGGCATGTGTCTCGATTCTCGGACCACCAATCACGCATTTCCATGCATGACGGCCCAAAGGATCAAGTGTGCAACTTTCATGTCAAATTAAATGCAAACCAAACAAACAAACCAAGGCCCAATTCCTATCACCAAGTCAAGGAATAAGGCATGCATGCAAAATGCAATGCAACCTAGGCATACATGCTAAGGATGCAACATGGCATGGCAAGACACTTATGCAAGCATACAAGCAAACATCAGGCAATGCAAATTTATGAAAAGGTGGACTTATACATGATTTAGGCAACTCTAAATAGGCCTAAAACAGTGGCCATAGTGCTATAATAAGGGACCAAATACACATGCACACATACACATGATTAAAGGCCAACCACTTAGGCACAAATGGGACAACTCTCAAGCACACTTGAAAAGGGATATCATGGACAATTAGCATGCAACATAAGCTCTAAAAATCATGTTAAAACATGGTGCCAAACCAAGCAACAAGTCAAGCTAAACATGCAACAAATGGCCCAAGTGCTTGAAGCAAGTCAAAGAGGCTTGAACCATGACCAAGCCAACCAAGCCTTGTAAGGCTAAGAGGACTTAAAATAGGTTCAAGGCAGACCTAGAACATGCAAAGGGGACCCCCTAGATGGCATCTAAGTGGCTCAAATTCAAAGGCATGTACAATGGCCAAAACATGGAACATGCTATACAAGCTTTCAAAGCTTCAAAGAGGTGTCCAAAGCAAACATACAAGCATGCTATAAGGTCTGAAATTATGCTAAAAATGATGCCAAATCATTAGAATAAAGCAAATAGTGCATGCTACAAACTCACACACTTGAGACCAACAAGCCAAAATGCAAAGGGGACATATAATGTGTGCCAT